AAAAAAAAAAAAAAAGAAATTTAAACACATGGTATTTGAATACCTTTCTTTTGAAATCTTATCTTAAATGATAGTGCCTTCCTAGCTTTAAAATAATTCATATGGGGTGCCTGGGTGGCTCAATTGGTTAAGCATCTGACTTCGACTCAGGTCATGATGTACAGTTCATGGGTTTGAACCCTACGTCAGGCTCTGTACTGACAGCTCAGAGCCTGGAGCCTGCTTCGGGTTCTGTGTCTCCCTTCCTCTGCCCCTCCCATGCTCATGCTCTGTCTCTCAAAAATGAATAAATGTTAAAAAAAAATTGTTTTAAATAATCTATAAGCCTGATCCCTATAAATAAGGATGCTGCTCCTGCTTAACCAGTCCTAGACTGGAAGGAGTAGAGAAGAAGTAAGAAAAGGGACATCTTCCTGTTTTGCTGCTGTAGTTCTATTTTTCTTTTTTATGTTTAAAACATATGCATGGTTTATCTTTCTAGTTTAAGATGATGGACTGAGTATTCCAATCTACCTTTCCTTCTTCCAAAGTGAAATGAGAAAAATGGTAGAATTTTTAAAATAAATAACTACATAAATGAAAAATAAGAGTGCTATCAGTAGACTAGAAATTTTGAGGACTCAAAACAGACAGGATTGCAAAAGCTGTATCATTTACATTCTTTTCTGAAGCTATAATGTAACTTGAAAAATGTGCTCTGTATTTTTGTCCAACAACTGCTTACGGATATTGCAAAGTATTTCTAATATAATTATATAAATACCATTAACTGTGGAACAAAGTAATTATACACAGAAAGAAGGAGATGTAAACTCCATAATGATATTAATAAATAAATATAGAAACTGAAAGTTTTATGCAGAATGGGATATTTGCTTGGTTTCAAAGACTCTCATTTTCCAATGTTTATTGATTACAAAAGGAGGGGAAATAAGAGTAATTTTACAGTGTAAAAATGTGGCAGACACAATCTTAGTAAGTGATCATGGTGATTATATCACCTTGAATGGGGCAAATGAAAATCATGTGCCACCTGACAGGGTGTAATGAGAACACAGCATTATTTCTATGATAGTCCTGCTGCTATAAGACCTGAATCTAATTGTGAGGACATATCAAAACAAAAGTAATTTGAGAGTCTATAAAATAACTGGCCTGAATCTTCCAAAGCATTAAAGTCATGAAAGTCAAAGAAAAGTTGAGGGACTGTTCCACACTGTAGGAGACTAAATAGACATACCACTAAATACATGTCTCTGAATGTATTTTTAGTAAAATAAATTTTTAATGAGATTCTTTTTAGTAAAAGAAATTATTGAAATAATCTATAAAACTTGAATGAGATCTGAAAGCTAGGTGATAGTAATGTATCAGTGTTAATATTATGATTTTAATAATTATATTGTAGTTATATACAAAAATATCCTGATTCATAGGAAACAACTAAAGTATTCAAGTGGTTAGGAACATCATGTCAGCAACTTAAATAGTTCAGAGGGAAAAATGTTCTTTACAACTTTTCTGTAAATTGGATAGCATCTCATTTTTTAAAAAGCTTTTTTTTAAAAGTCTCTTTTCTAATTATAAAGCTAAGGTATGTATAGTGTAAAATTTTCAAATTCTACTTAAAAGCAAAATTCCCCTTATTCTACCACTGTTAACATTTGGATGAACAAACACCCTTCCAGATGCATCTCTATACACAAAAAAATATAATACCACAGATCAAATTTTAAGTATTTGCTGTCTTAATGACCTAATTTTTTCACTCAACATTGCCTTGTAGGTATCACTGATACACAAACATACACGTTTACATTCCAAAACAAAGCTATTGTCACTACCTCAAGTAGTCCTACAGCTATGGAAAGTGCCACCCCAGAGGAACGCAAAGGTCTCTTCCCCTGTGGTACAGGCCAAGGGTCTCGCTGCAGTTCTCCCAGAAGATCTGTGAGATTCATGTCTATTTTCTGTACTGGCTGCAAGAATCTGCAAAACAAAATTAAATCAAAAGTCATTTATAAATATTTATGGGTAAGACTGTAAGAAACAAACTGTTTCCTTTTTTAGAAATAGAAAAAAGTAATTTGAATACATGGTAGACCCATGGTTCTCTAACTTTTGTGTGCATAAGAATTGGTGGGAGGACTCATTTTAACAGATTCCAGGGTCTTGTTTCTGCAGGTCTGAGGTAGGCCCCAAGAATGTGCATCTCAAATAAGTTCCCAGGTGATGCTATCTACTGGTCCACAACCAAAGTTTTAGTACAACCACTGTAAGTGAAACACTCACACCAAGTATTATATCAGGACTACGTCTTTCATTTACCAGTTAGTCAGCCTTAGGGCTACTGAAATAATTATGAGAAGATATGTCAACTCAATTTTAGTAATACTACTTCTGATTAGTAAGTTTGGGGAGGGGGAAACTACCTCTAAGGCTAAATGAAAAGTTTTTTAGGCCCTACTTTTGTTTGGCTGCCTTCAACTAGTTTATGAACTTAAAAACAGGAGATCAGGAATATATCAAAACTAAAAAAGTCCTTAACACTGTAATAATAAGAAACCAACTATTTCAGTGGCATGATTCTGCCTCAACTTTTTAGAAGATGTACTAATGCTGTGTATTTATATTCCTAAAAATATAACAATATAGTATTACTGAATGTCTATGTTCCAGTTAAGGGTACAGGATGCTTAAAAGAGCTGCACAAATTGTAAAATTCTCTTTGCCATATTTAATAATTACCTATTGGAAGGAGGTGGCTGTTGTACCTGAGGACCACGTGTAGCTTGAGTCACGGGTACTTTAGAGAGTCCCAGCATTTCCTGTAAAGAGATTATTTTTGTGATATCCATTTAAGTACTCCTACAAAGATGTATCAACTACTTACCATATGCAAAATGCTGTGCTAGGTATTATGAACACAAAAATAAAGAACATAAAGTCTCTTTCCTTAGAATGCAAAAGGTCTAGTTAGAGAGACCCTCAGGTAAACAATAACAATGCAAGGAAATAACAAGCATAAGAGAACAAAGTATAAGGTGCTATATGAGCAAACAGGGATACTAGCTCAGAAATAGTTTATTTCTAATTAAGAGTCAAAAAGTTACTATGTAACATCAATGTCTGTACTTCTTTTAAGTTTTATCTTATTTATTTAAAATTTTTTTTTTTTTTTCAACGTTTATTTATTTTTGGGACAGAGAGAGACAGAGCATGAGCGGGGGAGGGACAGAGAGAGAGGGAGACACAGAATCGGAAACAGGTTCCAGGCTCTGAGCCATCAGCCCAGAGCCCGACGCGGGGCTCGAACTCACGGACCGCGAGATCGTGACCTGGCTGAAGTCGGACGCTTAACCGACTGCGCCACCCAGGCGCCCCTTATCTTATTTATTTAGAGCGAGAGAGCACGCGAGTGCCAACAGGGGAGGGGCAGAGAGAGAGGGATATAGAATCCCAAGCAGCCTCCGTGCTGTCAGCAAAGAGCCCGACACGGGGCTCATCTCATGGGGCTGTCTCATGAATGTAAGATCATGACCTGAACTAAAATCAAAAGCCAGAGGCTTAACGGACTAAGCCAACCAGGCGCCCCACATGAATGTCTATATTTCTTAACTTGTATTCATCCATCCCTTTGAGCAACTATATTTCAAGTACCTGCTATGTGCCAGGCATCTAATGGTAAAAAATATATATATAGCCCCTGACATTATGAAATTAAGATCTGGTGAAACAGACAGCAGTTAATAAAATCATTAGCTAAAAAAGTATAAAATTACAATTGTATTAAATGTTATAAAGGAGAGGTACATGGAATCGTATAAAGGGGGTTATAAGATATACATATGTATGTCTATACTTAATTTTCTGACTTAATTCCTAACCAGTTTTGTTTGATTTTTAAGTGTACAAAATTCCTCTCTAGACACATGAAAATAATGTTATTTTACTGAAGTTTTCTTGAATCTTGGTCACGAAGTAAGAGTAAAAGTATACAACAGAAAATCAGAAAGTCTAAAGATTTGCAAAGAAAAAATTATTGAACTAATCCTATATTTCCTACACTCCTAGCAGGAAGAGCAACTTTTTCCTAAGAACTTACTACGTGCTAGACTCTGTGCTAAACTCTTCACATATACTATTTCTTCACAGAATAATAATGAAGAATATTTTTTAATCCCTGCTTTATAAATGAAAACTGACACTCAGAAAGGTTTTTAACCTGCTAAAGGTTACACAACTAGTAAGTTGCACAGCAAGATATTAAGCCAGGGTTTGCCACAAAGCCCTGTAAGAGTTAACACTATACTGACTGTTCTTACATGATTTCCCTTAGCATGAATAGTAACCTGGTAAAGTAAGAATTATTTACCCTTTTCCACAGAGGATAAGAAAACAAGCAGAGATCAACCCAATATTACACAACTAGAAGAGTTTCAGATTTGAATTCAGGACTATTTGGGGAGCAAAGACCAGGCTCTTTTCAACCAAATGGATAGAGAAGGAAAACAAAAACATTTCATCACAGCACAGCCCAACAATAGTTAATGCTTAGCCATGGGGACCATGGGAACTTTCTGAAGATGATGGAACTGCACTAGGGTTGAAACTAATGGCTGTAGAGTTGTGTTTTTCAGCTTGAATCTCACCTGTGATTTAGTTTTGTTTAATGTCCTTTCATGACTTGATTTCTCTCATATGCCAATGTATTTGTAGGTTTCCTAGATTTTATTTTTAGGGAGTGGGGTAATAATATCTTCCCATTTTTTGATTAAGCTGGTTCAGCTATGGTGCTATTCAGTAGGTATCTTCAGTGTCAGGTTCCATAGCTGAATGCCATTGTTATTATAATAATTACTTGTAATCACATTGTAAGCTTGAATTTGGGCTTATACCTGCATCTTTAGTATTTTGTACATTCAGTTATTTAGACTTTGGGAGACCTCCTAATCAACTTTGTAGGTTAAATAGACTTCATCAACTACAGTCTATTTTGAGTTTATAGTTTAATTCAGAATTGTATTAAATTGACATTTTGCATTTGACTTCATTTTACATTAGTTTGAAGTAAATTATTTCATTTTTGGATTCTGGAATTTTGAACATTTACTGTAATTGTTAATATAACTGCCGTGAAATATTTGAATAAAGATGGCAAAAAATAAAATAAAATAAAATAAAAACATTTCAATGGAGGAAAATATTTAGCCTGTAGGCATTTATTGCCTGCAACAAAAAAGCAGGTATCTTATGTGTTTCATATGCAATAACATAACTCAAGTAAAATGTACTCTACAATCAGAAGTAACACTACAGAACTTTAAATAAGTTTGCAGCTTCAAAATAACAATAGCAAACAGTTACAGGCACAATCCATTCAATTTTCATGACCACTGTATAAGGTAGACACTATTATTAACTCTTCCACAGATGAAAAAAACTAAGGCACAGAAAGATTAAACTTGCCCACTTTCTGTCCTGTCTCATGGAAACTGATGAGCCTCTTCTCCAAGGTACTCTGCTTCCTCTCTTCCTGAAGGCATCCCTATCATGTCCTCTGAAAGCTCAGCTCACTCTTGCTTTCAATTCACCCTCTTTAGTCTCTCTTCCCCTTCTATGTATAAACACATTCAAGTTCCCTTCCTAACCTAAACCTGTTAACTCGGTTCTCTCAAATTCCCACACTATCGTCTTCCTTACCTTCAACAAACCTCTGGAAAGAGCACAAACTCTAATTTTCTTCACCTCCTCAAACCTTATTCGTGATCTTATTCACTGTTCATCATCCTCCCCATCCCAACTTGCAAATTCTTCCACTACTTTCTATCTCAGTTAACTGCAGCACTACTACCCCAGTCTGCTAAGCTTCAAATTAGAATCATTTAATATTGTTCTCAAAATCTTCTTTTCCTTTTCATTTGGGATACCTGGATGCTCCAAAGTCTGACTTCCTAGCTGTCTACTTTATGCAAGACTTACCTGCCATCTTCCAGGGTAACTGTTCTTATCAAGATTGTATCAGAATCATTTATAAAGTTTTTCAAATGCCTTACATGAACAATCCTACCCTCTCAACAGCCTCCCAAAACAAGCACACGTTCACTTATTTTCTCATGGTTTAGCAAAATCTCTGGGCAAAACATATATATATATATATATATATATATATATATATA